AACTGTCGACGGAATCCCCGCAATTTCGATCGGATATTTTCATCGCCCATTTTTTACTTTCTGGGCCCTTCTTTAGTTTCTGCTCTTGTTTTCCAATCGAATTCCTCGTCGGAATCCGCCATGGCCGCGGCCTTAAGGACGAACACGTCGAGAGAAACCGCGTCTCTCACGCTTTCTCAGTTCAGGTACTTCATCTTCAACCGCGTCCACAGCGGTAGGGCAGCGAGTTCTCAGTGCAATCACCGTACCAAATGCGATGATCCATTAACCAACGTCACATCGTTCAAGCCCATTGTTCTCGCCGGCATGGTGGTCGAGAAAGGACCGAGTGTCGTGGATCATCGGAGAGATAACCGCAATCCGAGCAAGAGTTTCGCCACGAATTGTGGCAAGTCTGCTATGTCGAGCTCGTACGGAGATCCACCAGATGTGTGGCAGCCTCCGGTAGATGAGGTTACGGTTCGGATTAACGGATCAACCGTTAATCTGGGTCGCGGCGGCGGAGGAGCAAGTCCCGGGTCGGGTAACGGAGCCGGGTCGAGTTCAAAGGACGAGTCTTGGGGTGGATCCAATCTTGGACCTAGCTTTCCGACACCGAAGGAGATATGCAAAGGTTTGGACAGATTCGTGATTGGTCAGGAGAAAGCAAAGAAGGTGAAGGACAATCTTTCTTTGATGATCTTAGAATGGGTTATCACTTGGTTATTTGCAGTCGAAGCATGAAACTATAGTAGCTGAATACTATAGTAGCTGAATTCTAAGTGTCAAAGCTCTGAGTTTTCTTTTGGAACCTGACTCTTCAACCCATTTTTCTCTGATATTTCTGGTGAATGGTATTGTGTCGTGGGCTCTTTGAGCAATTGGTGTTGCGTTATTGTGTATTCTAATCTTAAAGTTTCATCTTTTCAATGGTCCAGTGTCTCATGTTGGTTTCTGGCACTGAAAGTTTCAGTTTTAAAGGTTTGGTTCCAACTCTTTGGGCATTTTGAAAGAAGGTCACTTGTTTAGATTTTCAGAATTTGTACATATTACACATTCAGATACGTGACCTGTTTTTTATGTGCTTCCATTCGGTTTAGATGGTGAAATGTATCTGTCTAATGCCTTCCGATTGCGAATACAGGTGCTCTCGGTGGCAGTTTACAATCACTATAAGAGGATACACTACGAGTCTTTACAGAAACGGTTAGCTTTTTCTCCCTCGATCTTTTCCTAAACTTGTTCTTGTGCTTGGATTTAGTTAAACTCATCAGTGGTGCCGAGAGGGATGTATCTTTGCCTAAACATCTCTGAGATAAATAAGCCTTTCTGATTTGTTTGAACGAATATTGCAAAACGTTGGTCGATGTTTTTTGTTGGATTTCATGTCTTGTTTAGGAGATGTAGTTAGTTATCTTTGTGGAACTTATTGGCTAGCTAGGCCTGCTGGAGAATCAGGCAGTTCAACAGCGAAAGCAACGGATGATGAATTCGTAGAATTGGAGAAGAGCAACATTCTTCTAATGGGACCAACCGGCTCAGGTAATTTTTTAACCCCGACTCTGTAGTACTCGATCTTTAGCCCAATATTACGTTTCTATAACCACGTGGATGCTTTTTTTTTTTTAATTTCATCTCGTTTGTTTTGGTGTTCCTCACCAAGGACAGGGAAGACATTACTTGCGAAAACTTTGGCACGGTTCGTCAATGTCCCTTTCGTTCTTGCTGATGCCACCACATTGACTCAGGCATGGCGTTTATATTTCCTTTGGTACCGATAAATCGGTGACACGTCCCTTTTTATGTGGGAGCTAACTTCGATTTTTACAGGCTGGTTATGTAGGGGAGGACGTTGAGTCTATATTATACAAACTTCTCACTGTAAGTTTCTCAAGGCCCTAGCCATCTCACTGTATGTTACACCGATTTTTATCGAGAACCCACTTTTTTTTTGTACCTAAAATACAATTTACGTGCTTCAGGTCGCCGATCATAATGTTGCGGCTGCACAGCAGGGCATTGTTTACATCGATGAAGTAGACAAGATAACCAAGAAGGTTAGGCTAAACCTTTTTTTTTCATGTCAGCTTGTTTAACAACTTCGAAGATTTTTTCGCTCATGACTTTTTTCTGTTTTGACGGTTTGGTCACCAGGCGGAAAACCTTAACATAAGCAGAGATGTCTCGGGAGAGGGAGTGCAACAAGCCTTACTGAAAATGCTGGAAGGAACGGTAAGTTTATGCTCTAAGTATGTTGGCTTTAGCTTCGGATTGGCCAAAAGAGATCGTGTAAATCATCCGACTCATTTTTTTTTGTGTTTTCTTGTTCGAAGTAGATCGTAAATGTTCCCGAGAAGGGAGCTAGGAAGCACCCGAGAGGTGATAATATTCAGGTATTCGTTATGTATTCTTCTTGTTTGCTCAATGATCTGATTGTAATGTCTTGAAATTTTAACTGTCATGAGCTTGTATCTGATTCTTGTCCATGTTTTTTTTACATGTTTATCAGATAGATACAAAGGATATACTCTTTATATGTGGGGGTGCTTTTGTGAACATAGAAAAAACGATCTCCGAGAGGTCGGTCCGACTCTCTCTCTCTCTGCTTCTTCGTCTCATCCCTCTGATGAAATCGGTCGTATAATACATCGTGTATGTGTGTATATATATTTCTTTCATCACAGGCGACACGATTCTTCTATAGGTTTTGGTGCGCCAGTACGAGCTAACATGAGGGCTGGTGGTGTGACCGATGCTACCGTTGCATCGACCCTGATGGAAACTGTAAGTTTTCAAGCTCTAGAATTTTTTGCGGTTCCGTTTTTGGATGTTCTTTTCTGCCGATACTGAGTCAGTATGAGACGTTACGTTCTTGTGTAGGTGGAAAGCAGCGACTTGATTGCGTATGGTTTGATACCCGAATTTGTTGGAAGATTTCCTGTTCTTGTCAGTTTATCTGCTTTGTCTGAGAACCAGCTTGTGCAGGTACGACAGTTGAAATGGTTATTGTTCGTTTCTTTCTTCTTCCGACCCTACTAGGGCTCTTTCCCGGTGCCCTTTTAAGGGTCCAAGGAAACTCATAGAGCATCTTCCTCGGCTCTAACGGTTTAAACCCTAAACATCAAAACCTAAACCCTGATTTCTAAACCTGTGAATAGAGTGATCACACAAGATAGCATGTCTATGATATATATATATATGATATATATGAGCTTGTCAGTCTCTCTCTCTCTTTATGTGCTTGCCTGAACTTCTTCGGTTGAAAAACTGTAACACGATTGAGATTCGCGTACTTGATTGTGGGTATACCAGGATTTAATCTCCCGAGGAATCAGACTTCGTTTCGACTTCTACCATGTTTGCAGGTCCTGACAGAGCCGAAAAATGCGCTGGGAAAGCAATACAAGAAGATGTTCGAGATGAACAGGGTAACTACTTCGTCTCTCATTCCCTTCTCAGATTGTGGACCCCGAACTCGATTTGCCAACTGCAAATGGATTTTTCTCTCAGGTAAAGCTGCATTTCACGGAAGGAGCGTTGAGGCGGATAGCTAGAAAAGCGATAACTAAAAACACAGGGGCTCGAGGTTTACGTGCCCTTTTGGAGAGCATCCTCGTGGATTCTATGTACGAGGTAAAGTCAAATCCCACATGGACTCTTCTAGTTCTAGTTGGATAAATGCCCCCTTTTTTTCCTCAGATTCCGGACGTAAAGACGGGGGATGACGCGGTAGAAGCCGTGGTGGTTGATGAGGAAGCCGTTGAGTCGGGAGGAGCGAAGATTCTTCGAGGCGAAGGTTCATTGGATCGGTATCTTTCTCAAACCACCATGTCCGATGAATCTTCTTCCCAGGTTAACTTACTCTACCCCCAATTCCTTCTTCACTTCACCTGCCAAGAATGAGTACTTTAACTGAATAACCGGTCACAGAGTTGTAGTCGAGGTTTTTTTGGTTAACTCGGGAATTCCTTAATTCGGTTTTAAAAAAATCTCGGGTTTAGACAATTGGTTTACATGAAATTCGGGTTTGGTTGCAGAGGAGAAAGGAAGGGCCGGAGGGAGAGGCAGAGGTAGAAACAGAGCTTCCATCGGTGGTAGCCGTCATGTAAATAAAAAAATGGGACTATTATCCATTAAAATGTATCTTTTCAAAACCTTGTCTTGTCTGTACATAATAAACAAAGACAACATTCGATTATGTTTGTAGATCAAACAAAAACAATGGAAGGTTGTTTTTTTTTTTTTTACATATTGAAGATGGAAAGAAAGGGACTGTTTTCGTTTTCGTTTTCGTGAGAGCCTTGGAATCGGACGGTCAGTATTTAATCTCTCGTGTTTCCTCCGTTTCATTTTACCTGAGAGAGAGAGAGAGAGAGAGAGAGAGAGAGAGAGAGGAGGGGGCTGTTTGGTTCCCGGGAAAATTTTTCAAATTTTCTCTCGAGAGAAAATCACCCAAAAGTGCGAGGAATCATCGCTTGTATACCAAGTTGTGTATTTTTTTTTGGAAATAAATATCGTTGCAGATTTTGTCGGATTTTTATTTTGTGGAGAAAAATGAAAAAAGGAAATGGAGGTGCGGGGAATCGAACCCCGTGCCTCTCGCATGCGAAGCGAGCGCTCTACCATATGAGCTACACCCCCTTTGTTAAAAGTTTAAATTTAAAGTAATTAAAGACATTAAAAAATAATAATTTCACGGTAAAATATCGTCCGGATTCATCAAAATAAATATCCCCTTTTTTTAACTTTAGGGGATATTTTCATGAATAAATATCATGAACGTTTTTTTTTAACTGAATTTGTAGTTGACGATCGCGAGTAAATACTCGACGAGGTTGGTATAAAATAAAGGTTAGATATGCAATAATTAATTTTACGAAAATTAGATATGCAATAAATTATTAACATCGTACAATTGTGAGTATCCATTTATTGCTCAATTTTCACCCTAATTGCCTCCCATGTACAACTTAAAGGTTATAAATTGTGATAACTTTTGTTTTTGTTTTTTGGTTTTCATAGTTTTTATAATACATGAGAATCCAAAAAAAAAACGAGTTTATGGTTTTTACTTGACTTTTTTCAAATGGTTTTCCGGATTTATAAAAAAAAAGAGCAAATATACAAAATTTTGACTGGATTTTATTTTGGTTTTTAGATTCTAAAATCGGAAAAAAAAAAAACTCTAACCATTCGACGCCAAAATTTTAGAAAGAATCTGCCTTTGGAGGGGGGTTTGAATTGATTTCTGACGGTTGTAGATTAAAACTAACATAACTGATCAATTCAAATTTAAATTCTAAATAAGAATATATATATATATATATATATATAATTTTTTTAAATCTAAAACCCTTAAATCCGAAAAATAAATTCAGTCTTGAACCCAAATTCCCATCTCTAATGGTAGTTGGTAATATTTTCCAATATGATCACGTACATTAGCATCAAGCTATCTCGATTTATTTATTTTTTGGATTATTCTATCGGATAACATATTATGGGAGAAACCCTTAACCAGATTCAGAAATTTTAGACCGAAGCAGTCAAAGTCCATAAATCTGATGGTTACTCTCGTCCGTACGAAATTCCGTTGTGGACAATTATGCAGCAGTAAATATCTTGTCTCCACATTTATAGGTACCACTAGCTAGGCAGTTGTAGTTTTTATTAGGGGTGGGGGTGGGCGTTTCGGATCCGTTCCCAAGAACCGGATCAAACCGAACCGAAAAAACGGTACTTTTTCCGATCCAAAACCGTTCTCAATTCTCGAACGCTATTATTTTTAGAAAACCGAATTTTCCCAGACCCGAACCGAACCGAACCGAACTTTAAAAAATCCCGAAAAACCGAATATTTTTAAATGAAATCTATCTTTTTTTAATAAAATCCGGAACCGAACCGAACCGAACATAATATAAAAACCAATTGGTACCTATTTTTGCAAAACCAAAAAAACCAAACCGATCTATTCTCATCCCGAACCCGAACCGTTTTCCGGAACATCCACCCCTAGTTTTTATTGCTGAGAAAATTCCTTTTTTTTCTTTTCTAAACATGGAAATATCATCCATGTGGACAAGACCTTTAAGTCTGTTGAATTTAAATTGAAATCATTGGATTGAAACCTTTAAGAATAGGTGTATGAAAATACAAGTTTTTAACGAATTACAGTGCTTTCTAAAATTTATATATTTTCTGACATTTTTAACGAGAATTGAATTGATGTATTTATGTAAGATTTTCTTAACTTTATAAAATCGAAAAACAGAAGACAAACCAAAATATAAATGAAATTCGAAATTATATCATCCAGTATTTGGCAATGTGAATACCGTTATAAACTCTCGACAAATGATGAAGCGTATACGAATTTGTTTGAGTAATTAGTTAATAACACGGATTATGATCATATATATATATGGTCATATTTATTTGCAATTTACATCGACAAAACTAATGTGTATGCAATTTCACAATTAATATGCCAACTTTCAAGTTTGTACCTTACTATCCAAACTTCATCGTAATTTTGATCGTTTTTATGATTCAGATAATACAATTGGAATTTATAAATTCAGATATATTTTAAAAATGGGATATTAGAACGTAAATGTATGCAAAATTGGGATTCCAAAAAAAAAAAAAAAAAAAAAAAACTTTCTGCCCAAATGACTGGAACCACTTCGATGTTTTATTTTTGGTAATTGGAACCACATCGATGTTGATTATGTTATATATATATATAAAGTCCACTAGTGTATGTAAACGTGCGTGTATATATATATATATCAAACTAAATCAGAAGATTAATATTCAATGATGACAGATCAATAATAAAACACATAGGCCACGTGAACTGAAAAACAATAATAAAACACGTCTATATAAATCCGTTTTTAGCGAAGAATCCTTCATATTACTCACAAAACCTTGAAAAAACAATATATAATAGGACAGGACATGTCGGAGCCGGAGGAGCAGCCACTCAGCCCGTTTTCACGGCTGTTCCATTCGTCGGATTTCAATGTCACCCTCCTCATAACCTTAGGTTGCAGAACCAAATGCGTTGTTCCCGCCATTATCGAAGGCTTGAAGCACACTTTGATCAAACACCCTCGATTCTCTAGCAAAATGGTAAGCTTATATATGTACATCCATACATGGATATACACTCAAAACATATGTTGATTCATATATATATATATATACACACGTATATGGGTATGGCATTTTTTTGGATGTGATTTAGTCTCTGTGATGAATGCAGGAGATGGATGGTGGAAAGAGGGGAAACCCGATCTGGGCTCGGACCAAAGTCCGTGTAGAAGATCACGTTTTCGTTCCGGATATAGATCCGGACATGGAAGGTCCTGATCAGTTCCTCGAAGACTATATCTCTAACCTAACTACTCTTCCTATGGATATGTCCAGACCGTTATGGGAACTTCATCTCCTTCAAGTGAAGACGTCGGACGCAGAATCGGTTGGTGTTTTCAAAATCCACCATTCATTGGGCGACGGAATGTCCCTTATGTCCCTTTTCCTCGCTTGCTGTCGGAAAACATCGAACCCGCAAGCATTGCCGACCGTGCCTGTTACGAACAAGCTCGTTGGACCGAGCGGTTTCCTCGGCAAGATCTGGTGGACGGTCGTGGGGTTTTGGCTCTTGATAAGACTGATCTTGAACACTTGCGTTGACGTGTTCATGTTTGTTGTTACGATATTTTTCTTAAAGGACACGAAAACTCTCATCAAGGGCAAGCCCTCTGTCCAGCGTCACGCAGCTAAAACGTTTGTTCGTAAGATCATTAGCTTGGACGACATCAAGACGGTGAAGAACGCCATGAATATGGTACACTATGCCATTCTCTTTGTTGTTTTACGCCATTATTGAAGATGCACTTTGATTATGGAAGAATTACTTTCTGATCAATGTTTATATATGATGTATTAGACCGTTAATGATGTTCTTCTTGGAATGACGCAAGCGGGTCTTTCGCGATATCTTAATCGACGATACGGTAAGATATACACTTTTTATTTTAATTATGACCCTTGAATCATATTTTATGACCCGTCAATCTTACATTTCGCAATCAGATGAAGAAACTGTCCCCGGGTCGAAAAAAGTTCTAGAAAAAGCTCGTATTCGATCTACCGTCTACATGAACTTAAGGCCAAACACAAGGATTGAGGTACAAATCATCAAATCAAAACCTCATAATCTCAGGATCCAATCATCTAAAAACACTTTTCTTTCATGAACTAAAGCTCCAACCCAACATGAAACACAGGATCTAGCCGATATGATGGCCAAGGGTTCAAACTGCAGATGGGGAAACTGGATAGGGTTTGTTCTTCTTCCCTTTTCCATGAAGCCAGAGTCCGACCCGTTGGAACACGTGCGACGAGCCAAAGCCACCATTGACAGGAAGAAGCTCTCTTTCGAAGCTATGTTATCATTCGCAAGCGTCGATATCGTCATGAGGGTTTTCGGGTTCAAGGTGAAATGAAGGAGAAATCATCATCTCTCTCTCTCTCTTATCTATATTATAGCGTTCGACATTGTTGGGTAATGAGGGCAAAAAACACAGGCAGTTGAAACTGTCGTGAGGAGAATAAACGGTAACACGACAATGACATTTTCAAGTGTGCTCGGGCCGACAGAAGAGATAAGCTTTTGTGGTCATCCGATATCATACATTGCCCCAAGTGGGTATGGCCATTCGCATGTAAGTATATAGTATTGCATCTGAATCTCTTTTTATTTTTTTTGAAATGTTTTTTGATGGTGCTGCTAACTTATAGTTTCGGTTACTTGTCGTGCAAGGCAATCACTCTTCACTATCAGAGCTACGTAGACAAGATGATCATCTCGATGGGAATCGATCCGACGGTTGTGCCGGACCCTCACAACCTAGCCGATGACCTGGCGGAATCTCTGAAAGCAATCAAATCCGCTGTCTTAGAAAGAGGGTTGTGTAAGGTGTAGTGGGTCTTCTTCTAAATTCCGCCGCTTCAACGTCTTTCATTTTTATTATTAAAAGATCTTTTAATCTCATTTTCACATGTACTGTGTTATTGTCGGCGCTCCAGATCTATAGATGGGCTTGTTTTTCAGACATGGATGTGTCTCTGCATTTGCATTAATGTTCGTTAATCTCTTATGGATTATTTCACGTTTGTAAATTGTTTATGGCAGAGCCGACATACATAACAGCGTTGTTGAATTTAGGGTTGGTACCACCATTGTTGATTATAATGATAATTACCAATTTCGTCAATGTCATAAACAGAAATATATTTTTTAACTGGAAAAAAACTTAAAAAAAATAAAACAAATGTTCTTTCTAGAAACCTAAAATATACAGTTTTTAATATTGAAGCCGGAAACTAAACATATTAGAGCAAACCCTCTGAAAGAAGTGGAGGTTTCACTCTTGGCACATATTCCAACAGCCAACAAGAACTAAAAGCATCCGACTGGATTCAGGAGAAAACAACCCCAACATAAAAAAAAAAAAAAAGAAAAAAAAAGAGGGTTTAAGATCCCTCGTTCTTGAACTTATTTGGGACCATTTCGATTTTATCTTCTCCAAATAGAGATTTAGAGCATTTCTTGTATAAGATCTCAAGCGATTCCGCATCCGAGTACGGTTTCAACGTTGCGTGTCTTGATAGAAAAAGAAAAAACCATGGCGATTCCCTGTCAGTTGCCGGAGGAAAGCAGCAGCAGCAGCAGAAGACCCTCGACGTCTTCGTTCAGTGCGGGCTTCGATCCGTCGAACCCGCTAGGGTTTTCTAGAGAAAGTTGTCGAATTTCTCGGGAAAGAGAGCGATTTTCTCGGGAAAGACACGGCGGATCAGTGGCTGAGGAAGGCGGAGGAGAAGCCGGTGGGTGTTTCCTAATGCGGAGCCCATTGGAGGTGGAGAAGGCAAAAGAGGAGTGGAGGAAAGACTGGAAGAGATGGTGGACAGGGATCTGAAGGGGGGGGTTCGAGGGGACGGTGATGGAGAAGGCGGTGGAGCTGGCTGTGCTCTGCACGCAGCCGCATCCAAACCAGAGACTAAGGATGTTGGAAGTGTTGAAGGTGTCGTGGATGAGTCAGGGCTCGAGGAAAGGAATGGTGGATGCGGATACGAGGATAGGGTCCCGAGTGTCTCTAGGAATTACAGTGGAGGCCATGAAGATTCTTCCTGATGTGAAGCCGGCCAAACAAACCGCAACTGTAGATCAGTTTTGGTTGATGTCCGGATTCTTCATTCTTTTGTTCCACGGTAACGTTCGGTTACTCTCAGAATTTTCCCCTTTCCCACAATTAACTGCAAGACAACAAGACAAACTTGGAAGAGGTACAAATGAAGAAACATGGAAATACCTCCAGAATTTTTAGACGATCCTTCTCATTTGGCGTGCTCACTTCAATTTCAGCATCAAACCGTCCAAACCTTCTTAGAACAGGGTCAATGGCTTCTACCCTTCAAATGTAAGAAACAAATATAAAATAGGTTACCCCGAACTCCATCGAAAGAAAATGGCCAGAGCATATCGGTAAAGACTTAAGGTGGGCATGAACCTGTTTGTGGATGCAACAACAACAACTCCGGGTGCAGATGATGGAGGCTTGTTCGAGTCCATTAGTATCAAGAGCTGAGAAGTGACACGAGCATCCTGGTCTCGCCTGCTTACATTAATGGGAGATTCCAATCACTTCATTAGATCTTTCATCTCATAAACTGTAATCTCAGAAATAAAAGACATGTATATGTATGTATATGAAGAGCAATATAGTCATTAGTCCTTCAAAAGAAAAGCACTAAGAAAAGAGCTCAACAATGTATTTTCCATCCATTATTCTACCTTCCTTGAGTATCAACTATCAATAACAATTAAAGGAATATAAATTGGAGATACAAACACTGACACTAATCCCGGTTGAAAATTCTCTTTCAGTACAATACCTAGAATTACGACGAGGACAGAGGGGATGGCTTGCCCAAGTGGGTCATTTGAGTGATTTTCCCTCTGCAAAAGCGTCCCTTAACACTTTCTCACTTTCACCAGCATGGGCTCTAAGCACAGATTGAGGCTGAACAGAGACCACAAAAAAACAATAAGTAATCTAGGGAGAATAAAAATCTTTCTCCTAACCCAAACACCACACCAGAAGAGAAGCTAAGTACCTTAGAACAATCAGATGTGCATCACATTACTGCACAACAGCACGCACCAAGCTTGTCTAAACACCAAAGTTTACCAGGAAGAAAGAACACACGCCATTAGAGCAATCAAATTACCTTGGGGAACATAATCAAACAATAAAAATACAAAGTCCAGAACATCTTTTCCAATTGATAAAAGAAATTTTCAAGCCTGTAACTTTTAGGAACGAGGTACCTTCCCGGTTCCAGGAGGGCCATACAAGAGCAACCCTCTAGACCACTGAGACAAGTAAAGCGATAAACTGTAGGTAAACAAAGAAAACAAGAGGGGGAGAAACCCAGATGATGAATCGAAGATGAATTTGGGTATACTTGGAGACCGAGCTTTCGGGCTTCATGAGGATAGAGAAAGGGGTAGACGATGAGTTCCCGGAGAGCTTTAAGAGCCGTGTCGTTGCCGGCGATTTCCGCTTCCGCACGCCATGTCAGATTGTCGACGCTGCAGCTACTGTTCTCCCTCCCCATCGGAAAACAAGGCTGAAAAGTATTGTTATTTTCCACCGTGTTTGAGCCGCCTGGTTCAGAGAATAAGTGTTTAGTGATGAAAGATGAGCAGTTCACAGAACTTCAGATTAAGCGAAGTCAAAATTATAAGGTTTTGTATATCGCCACCCAGATTATAATGGCATGGAAAGAACACTAGAACAAGACATGATAGCCTCCATGAACACACCCATTACCCTTGGAGAAGATGTTCCAAGACCTAGAATGACCAAACTCCCTGATTTTAGATCTTTAAAACACCATAAGAGTAAATAAAAAGGTTGATTCTTTCTCTCGTTGCTCAGGGTTTCGGAATTTTCCCAAAGTGACAAGCAAATCTATGCGGCATTCGAGACTATGGACAGATTAAGAGATAATGTTCTAGAATCCAAGTTCATTGATTTCTGAGTCAATAATTTTCTCCAACAACAAACAGACCTTGGCGGCACGGGTGAGACAATCACCACAGCAGGTAATTGAATCTCTCTAGCAATTCCTTCCACAGCAGGTTATCGGAGAACATATAGAACGCGCCAAATTTACAGATCTTGTCTGCGAGTTTCAGCGATTTGATCGGCGAAATCCCTAGTTACGTTGGATGCAAGAGCTTCTACAGGATCGAGTTCCTTGAACGGGTAAAGTTGGCTTATGAGTCCCACATTTTCATCACAAAATAGACGATAACTCGCAAGGGTCTTTTACCCTGAGATAAACAACGACACATTATCAGGCAAAGCAGCAATCTCTCGAACCGGAAAATTGAACATTATCAGGCACATTATAATTTTGTAACACGTATAGGCTATGGACTTCTCGAACGCAAAGATCTGCTGATCCTCGGATTCCGGCTCCCTCTTCCTCGGCTCGGAATTCGCCGTTTCTGACACATGCTTGGAGTTTGTTTGATTTTTGTCCACCTTCTCCTTCTGAAACTACTTAGAACTTGGAAACTACTTTCTCATTGCTTTTGTCATGCATGTGCCAGTTAAAGACAGGTTTCGGTTCCCTTGTGTTGTTTATTGGTCTGGTTTAGGCAGGTCCTGTCCGGTTCCCTCTCAAGCATATCGAACCGGTAGATAACCGGGAGATATATTTTGGTTTGGTTTTGGCAATTGCTGATTCTTGATAGAGGTAAGGCATGAATACTCAAAAATGGGGTACTCGTATGTATTCGATTTTTTCCGGGTATGATATGTTTTTTTCTTCTTATCCGTCTAATGAATACATACGCGAGTAATTAAAAAGGCGGTGATGGATGTCTACGATACTCGCGTATATTGGTTAAGGATATATATTCTAATTAATTCTCAGTTTGTGCATTCCAAAATTTTCGGATATTCGATTTTATAATTTGTATTATAAATCTATTTTTCGGGTATTCTAAATTCACCCCTTCAATTCTTTTGCGACGATTGATCGACACGTGGTGACGAAGCTGCTGTCGACTAAAAACAAAAGGAAGAAACGGGACCAGATCAGGTCCGCGACCTTGGCGGTCGATAACCTCTCGGAAGGAAAAGAGAACCACCTCACGTAATAATTAATAGCAATGACGTGAAATAGACCCTTTTTTTTTCCGGCCAAAGCATCATTTGATGTACGGACGGCTCATTGGCTACGTGTCAGGTACACTTAAAAAAATGCTATTTTTCTTGGTGCTAATTATGAAAAATTCGCATCAAAATTAGTAAGTGTGTACATCCATCAAAATCCAAATCAGCGTAAAAAAAACTCTCAAAATTATGGATTTATTTTTTATTTTAAAGTAAATATATTTCTTAATAAATTGACAAAAAGAGAATGTTTTTCTTTGTTCATTTTCCCCCCTCTTGGAAATTAAAATGAATTAAAACGCACGACTGTTGCTACTGATTCCATGATGAAATAAAGACAAAAGTGTCATTGTTTTCACAAAAGCCAAAACGCCAAGCATGATGGGGCTTACCACCACTTGCCACTTAATCAAAAAGACCCTTTCTACGACAACAAGTGGCTATCGAACTTGGACCATCCATTCCAGTTTTCAATTTCTCATCTCCATAACCCACGTAAATCAAATTAGACATTTATTATAAAAAAAATTGAAAAATGGGCTTTTTAAACAAATTGAAAGTTGTATGCTTTTGGTAATGTATGTCCAAAGTAATTACATATTTTGAGAGTATAATATTCAAATTAGATTTCATATTTTATTACGTTATTTTACGAATAATACAAGAAATACATACAAAAGGGTATCTTTCTTGTCCTATTTTCTTCTTCAATGTTGTAGTACACGATTGGGGGGGGGGGGGCCAA